GGCGGCAGCCTCAAGAGCGCCGCCAGGCCCAAACGGTAATATCGTTTGGGCCGGCCCGTCGGGTCTGGTCCAAGGTAAGGCCTTTACGGCCTGTAGTACCCCCCAAGGTCGGGCCTTTGGCCCTACTGTGTCCCTCTACCCCTACGTCGGGTCCAGTAGGACCCGTGTGGCGTCGAAGATGTAACAGAGACACATCATTCGGTACACAGTTTTTCTACCCGATCCTTGCTCGATAACAGCAACCCCTCAAGCATCCTAATATACGCCGGACAAACCTTTCTATCCTGCGTGTTGAGTTACCTGATGATTTCACTGACAATACATAGTTCTGTCAAGTCCTCTACTGAACTTGTAGAAACGGGCTCTGCTAAATGGCAATAGTAATCATAGTATACAAATCCGCACACCCTCGATGCATTTACATTTTTGATACATAATATCTATATGCAGGTCCCCTCCACACACAACAAACGCAGGCCTCAACACACGTGCGCTTGTATAATAGTCCTGTGTTGTTAATGCATGCAGGTGTAGTGTGGTCACCTCTGCTTGGTAAAGTCAAGAACATTTTACCAACAATGAAGAGTCTACAATATCTCAACGCCCCAACGGGGATGAAAAAATATGAATACACTTCAATACAGGTTCATGTACCTGCTGCAGGTAGAAACCTGACGATTGAGCAAACAGGTCAAGAGTTCAAATCCTTACGTAATACGTATACAAATAATACAATAATATTACCTGCTATACCCGAAAATAAAAATAAAAATGAATACCAATGGGCCTAGCTCAGTTGGTACACCCGTGAACTGTTGAAGTACAGACTCAAGTTCGAATCCAGATACCCTCAGATGAAGAGAGTAAAATCATTCTGAATTGCCTGGGGCCAGTCAGTTCAAGCATGATATCTTTTTTTTTTTTTTTTGAGAATCCCAACCACATTATCAACACCCACGGACCAATTATATACAAAGTTTCATCGAAATATCCAGGAGTCTTCTTCTTCCTCCCTCTTTCTCAAGCTCTAGCTATGTCGCCACTTCCACTTCCAGCGCCCAACCGGACAAGCCTGCAAACGCCACACACCCTCCTGAATCCAACACGTCACTCTGCACCACTCATGAAGCCCATCTGCAGATTATGTGTCCACTCAGCAGGGGAGCGCAGCTCCCATGTTGAAGAAGAAAAGCAACTCGATGAAAGATGAAGACCTGCTGCGTCGAAGAAGAGCCACTGAAAGTGCAGCTTCAGTGGCAGCTGACCAAACCCCAACAAGCACACAAATATGGGGAAGCGCTCATCAGCACTTGGGCACCAGCCCAGCTTTGTCACCAATGGAGCTGGCCGGCCCCAGCTATGGCTGCCAGCGGCATGTGGAGAAGATGCCCTGCATACATGCCCACAATAGCACAACAGGGAAGCAACGCGACCTCCACCAAGACTGTGAAAAAAAAAGCAACGAAAAGAACCAAAAGAACCCCAAACTCGTCGGCCTCTGCCTACTTCTACCCGACTTCCCTATACCTACAACCCGACTTCCCTATACCTACAACACAGCAGCCACCATGATATCTAAAGGCCGTCGCACTTAAAAAATAATAATAATCATAAAAATGCAGGTTCACAGAGGAACCCAGGGCATGTCATGTGCTGGAACCCAGGTCATGTCATGTGCTGAAAGAGTCATGCTTGCATGGCACGTCAATGTTTTTTTCTTTTTTTCTTTTTTTGAAAACAAGCAAGAACCAATGTCACTCCTCAACTTGCCACCATCTCCCACCTCCAAGGGCACGTCAATGATTGATTAGTCAAGGTATTGATTAAATTTGATTTTGATTGCCTGCATTCTGATTCTTGAATGTTTATCGTTGACATAACAGATTAACATGCAAACTGAGGACATGCTGCACTTGGTCCCTGCCCGGCAGTACAGACTTGGTTTGACACTATAATTAGTAATTACTAATTACCATAACAGATTCTTTTGGAGATACCAAATCTTGGTCCTTTTCTGGCTCAGTGGGATTCAAACTTTAAAGGATCTTGTCGTTCAACCAATTATGCTGCTCAAGCTACTGCTGAGAATGAATCATTGCCTTGGTTTGAAATTTGAATCATTGCCATCGATCTCTAAAGTACACTGTGCATTCTGTAACCCAGGTGTCGAGGAGCTCGTTAATGGTAATCAGCAAGGCTGAGAATATAAGATGGGCGCTTACAGCAAGTGAAGCTGGTTTGAAGAAAACCATCAACGCATCATCTAACAGTACAAAGCAGGTGAGTGGACAGCACACAAATGACTCCACGTTCTGCACAACGATCACAACTACACGGAGTGTTCATTGAGTTTACAACTTTACACAGAGTATTCATTCAGTGCGCTCTGAAGTCATTGGTTGCAGTACTACAAACAACTCTTCAGTGTATGCTCAGTAAAATTTGTGATTTTTTTTTTTTTTTTTTTTT